TATGGCCCAAAGTTTGACATGTCAGTTGTCATGTCACCTCTGTAAACTCACCCACCACCTTGTAGCCTATAAATATGGCATTTACTACGGTGGGTGTGGGGATCGCATTTTTCACTCTCTCACTCTACTACAAAGAACTTTCTCTCTCTAAAAGCTCTGAGGTCGAAAACCTTTCTATTGTTTACTCTTCTCACCCTTCTTTCTCTCGAGTCTACCTCCTACCCTCAGTTGGACTCAAACAACAACATAAGCTTGTCAAAGACGATCTCCTCCACAAGAAGGATATCTAAACTTATAATTATTCATATTCATATAATTTCTCCGTAGTGAGATTGATGTTAGGCATACACATGAACTTAAGGATGCACGTAATTAACTAAGTGTAAACATCATCTAATCATAAATGCATAGCTTAAACATAACAGAACTGGCACTCAATCAATTTCACGAAATAGCATAATTCAACACATAGTAACTAACTGAGGATGAAATACTAACTAACCCTCTTTAACCAACGCACCTTGATAATGAATCTGGATAACTCGAACTAAACTTTGTTTCAGGATTGACCGCCACGCTTTTCGAATCCTTTTACCCCACCGATACACTAACATGATGAAACTACGCCATCAGAATACTTGACTAATCAAGCTAACGGTCAGTGGCGAACCCATAAATTTTACATAACGGTGTCCTCTTTCAAAAAATAAAGTAAAATAAAAATTATATTATTCTTAAATAGGAAAATATCCAACTCGTACAAGTTAAAAAAAGTCAATGATGTATTTTCATATTCTAAGAAATTATAAAATACACTTGGTGTCTACACTGCTTAACAAATTTGTCTCGGTATATTCTATTAGACAATCATTCACGAACTGACGCATATTTGACTTCAAAAATTTGTTCATGATGTAACTCAAAGTTGAAAAAACACTTTCAACACTTGTCGTACAACCATAAATTCAATACAAATTAAGGGTAGGTTGTAATTAGATTAATTGTTAGGTTTTGAAAATAATTAAATATAGAAAATAGGGTTTTGCTATTACACAGTGTCTAGAATATAACAACAAAAAAGTTGTAGTCTAATGGAAATTATTTTTGTTAGTAATAGTAGTGTCCTGGGTTTGAACTACCCATTAATCCACCAATCCAATCCATTAATCCATTAAAAATATCCACCTAATCCAATCCATTTAAATCCAATCCATTAGATCCAAATCTAATTGGATTGGTGGATTCATGGATTGATCCATGGATCCAAATGATAAATTACGATTTGATACCTATATTTTTTATATTTTACGTTTTGGTACCTAATTTTTTTATTATGACATTTTAGTACCTAAACTTTTCACATTTTACATATTGGTCCTTGTTTGAAGATGTCATTTGGATTCATGGATAATCCACCAATCCACTTGATCCAATCCATGAATCCATTTGATCCAATCCATGGATCAATCCATTTGCCACCTCTAATCATTCCCCCAAATCCATTTATTACATCCAGTCGAACGTTAACCAAATGAGACCGAGTGCCACAACTAATTATATCTATCTATCTATATCCATCTATCTATCTATCTATCTAAAAGTGTCCATAATACATCAAATTTTGAACTTTAATTAGTACAATCAATCTAATATGATGATATGACATAGAATCATAACAAATCAATCTATTACCCTAACCCCTTAACCTTCAGTTTTGAATCACAACCCAAAATCCCAAATTGTAAATCTAAACCCTAACCCTAAAATCCCGAAATCATAAAATCTTTCGAATTAAAGTAAATTTTGAATGAAATTTTTTTCAAATTCATGTGCTTCTTGTTCATAATATCATAAACAACAATTGATACTGTTTTGACATGAATCGCATGCTCAACGAAAAAGTGGGTGCAACGAATACTCCACTATATATATACATATTTCCACCTTCGTTTAGTAATTATAATGGACAAACTCCATTTACGTAATTCATTCACCATTCTTAAGCCAAGCCACGACTAATTCATAGTTGGTCCAACCTGTGGCATTGTAAAGCTAGCAAAATAACCAAGGTTGTCAACCCGCGGGTTGACCCACGGGTCAACCCAATTTGACCCTGACCCGGTGAGAAAAACGGGCCGCACGCACCCGCCGGGCCGACCGCTATAAGGTACCGGATTGGAGGTCAAATTGTGTCAATTTTCTCTTTAGTTTGCGAAATGTGCCTATTTTCCAATTTTTCTTTTCGCCTAACTCAATCTTTGGAATACTAAGTTGAACATTTGAATTTTTATGTTATATAAGTGTGTGTGAATTTTCACTATATGTTGGATCTAAGTACGATATGTTATTTTGGTGTAATTGTATATGTTATAACTCATATGTTAGATAAGATTTGATATAATTTATGAGGATAAGTACAATATAACGACTCTTTCTATATTTCCGGGCCAAACCGGGCTAAAACGGTTGACCCATTAACCCTTGACCCACTAGCTCGACCGGGTCCGGGTCAACCCGCGGGTTGACAACCTTGAAAATAACCCTCTCTATTGGGATAACCCGCTTGTTCCCGTTGCTATTCTCTAAATCGCTACACAGCCCAAATAAATACTTAACGTAATCAATATTATCATCGACTATATTTAAGGAAGCGCGATCATTACCTCTATTACGTGCCTTAGTCTGGATAGAGGGATTAAAGGTGTCGATCTCCTAGCTTGGATCGTCGTTCGAGCACTCCGAGCCTTGCCGGCGAAACTACAAGACAGGTGATAATGAGCTGGAGCCCCTATGCACGACGAACGGAGAAAGCGTGCAAATGATCATTGTCGACCGACTCTCGTCTTCCTGTTATTGCCCCTGGCGGCTAGGGGTGGCAGTCGGTTTTCCGGTTAGCGGCTAACCGGTCGGTTTCAACCGAACCGACCGGTTTTCGGCTAGCCGAAAAACCGATTCCGAAGAGGGCGGTCGGTTGGCGGTAGAGGAACTTAGAGGTCCGGTTAGCCGAGTAACCGAAGCCGGTTAACCGCGGCTAACCGGCTGACCGACCCAAAACCGAAAATATAAAAAGAGAAGGTGACCCACAGCAGATCCAACTCTTCTTCTTCTCTCTTTCCTCCACAACAGATCTGACTCTTCTTCTTCTCTCTTCTCTCCGCTTCTTCTTCTCTCTTCTTTCCACAGCAGATCCGAATCTTCTTCTTCTTCTCTCTTCTCTCCTCCTCCTCACCTCTCCTCCATTGTTAACTCCTTCGACTCTTCTTCCTTGCATGGCGGCCAGATTCTCGCGCCGCACCTCGCTCCCGTCGCCGCGCCCCTCGCCGCGCCCCGCGCCCCTCGCCGTCGCCGTCGCCGCGCCCGTCGCCATCGCCCTCGCCGCGCCCCGCGCCCCTCGCCGTCGCCGCGCCCGTGCCGTCGCCGCGCCCGTCGCCATCGCCGTCGCCGCGCCCGTCGCCGCGACCCCTCCAGGCTCCAGATCTGTTTCCATGGAGAAAGGTGAGAGAAGAAGAAGGAAGGAGAGAGAAGAGGTCTGGTGGAGAGGAAGGAAGGAGAGAGGAGGAGATAAGGAAGGAGTGGTAGAGATTTTTTGTTTCATTTATTATTTTTTTTTTTTGAAAATGTATTTTCGGTTGGTCGGCTAACCGAGCCTAAACTCGGAACCGACCGGTCGGTTGGCCGGCTAACCGTGAGCTCTCTTCGGTCGGTGGTCGGTATCTACAGAGGGTGGCTCGGTTTAACCGATAACCGGGTTTTCGGTTTTCGGTTAAACCGAAACCGACCGACTGCCACCCCTACTGGCGGCTGCCGTTTTGGTTGTCGGTGACTTGGGAGGGATTCATGCTGGTTTCTGGTCGAGGGAAAGGGTGGTACCGAGGGAGGAGGTAGCGGTGATGGGAACTGGGCGGTGGCTATGGTGTTTGGATTGCTTTGTTTTATTAGGTTTGGTTTTCGGGAGAGAGTTGCTAATTGTCGCTCTAGTTTTAATCATCACCCTAGTTTACAAATTATTATTTCATTTTTACCCTTTGCTTTTTATTAAAAAATATTTAATTCACCACGGTACATAAAAAAACTCCCCACTATCTTTATTAACCGTCGCCAGTGTTCCACCAGGCACCATCGCCGCCACCGGCCATTTCCGAATGGATTAATGAGGACGGTTGCTTGGATTATATATAAAAAAAAAAATTCACCACCGCCGACCTCACCCTGCCCGCCATCCACCACTTCCCGGCGGGAGAATGGACCCGAGAGTCATATTTTCCAGACCCTCGATGTTTCGGTAGAAGTTGTCGATGCAGTTTAACGTTTCCACCGACGGCTGCTTTCGGGAGAGGTTGATTATGGTGGCCACAGGTAACGTGAGATAGCCAAATAAAACGTCCACTAGTTCCGCATCGGCTTCCATGAATAGCAAGGGAGAAGGAACAATGAAGGACTGAAGGTGTTTGGAGAGGTCGACAGTGAGGAAGGATTAGAGATTTTATTAGTATTTGTTTTGTTGAATTTAGTTTATTTAATAAAAGATATTTTAATAGTTTTACGTTTTAAGTTAGGGCGATAGTAGTAAAACAAGGGCGACATTTAGCCATTGAGTTTCGGTAATTGCTTTTGGCTAATAGGTTTAGTATATATTTATCCACACGAAAGAGATGTAGAAAGGAAGGAGGTGGAATGTACGTGAGGGAGGAGAAATCCCCACCTATTTCTGCTACTGCGTTTGGTTTAGTTTAGGGTTAGCTGGAGCTTAATTAATCATGGTAATAAAATGAGGGTAAATTTGGAAATTTGTGAAAATTCTAGGTACCGGGTGTGACATTTACCCCTTCCCGATTAACGGCTGTTCTGTCCGCAAAAAAAAACGCCCGCCCTGGACACACCGTCCGATAGTTCTCTCTGAGGTTTAATCTCCGCCGTTCAAGAAGCACAATAACAGAAAAACACTTCACCAAAATTGGCGAAAAAACAAAGTCCGAAATGATTGGATTTTGATTTTTGAGAGGCAAAGCCGCAAGCGCAAAGGAAGAGATGGAGTAAAGAAAGAATAGTGTTAGGGATTTGAGGACGAGGAGAGATTTTACAGTCTGAGCAGCAGCACTTTATCCGGGAAGGGAAGCAGTACTACTGCCAAATTCTTCTTCTTCTACACTGCTTTTGTTCCCTCCTTCTCCACTTCGCGTCTCCATTTCGTTAACCACTCAGAGGTATGGTCCTTCTTCTCCTCCTCCTGGCTCGCGCTTTCAGCGAGTTAATAACTCCGGAACTGTAATCAAAGATGTTTGCTCTGTGTTTTGGATTAGAGGTGTACTGTTTCCGTTCATAGGTCGCGTTTGGTAGATTAGATTGTTCAGTCTGGGTCGAAGAAAGTCTGCGATGTTGGTGGTGGTCATAGTGGAAGTGAGAATTCATCTGAAGCATTTGGAATGTGGTTATGAATTATTGTGAGTGTCGTTGGTAACGGATGATAGTAGGAACAAGTATTGGTCAAGTGAGGTACCCCCGGGAATTTATACTGTGATAGTGAAACTTGAAAGTTCGAGATTGGTTTGATTTTTGTGGAGTGTTGTCTTGCTTTCTTGGTCTGATTGATATGATTTTTGCTTTTGGATGAGAAGAATGTGACAGTGAATTATGCTCAATGAGTGAATGTTGATAACTGGTTTGGAATTTTCTAGTGACATGGTAGTAGTAGGATGGGTTCACCTGGAATCCCGCAAAGGAATTGACTTCAGGCACATCTCTTAGTTTCATTTTTGTGGCGAATCCTTGAAACCCCTAGGGTTCTGCCGTTCTATGATGTATTGTAGTCATGCTTTCTTGTCTTGTTGCTATGATTTTTCCGGTGTTAGCCTCTGGGAAACATGTTGATTTTTCATATTTCATTTGCACTAGTCGTTCTATATTTTGTTCCCCAAATGTGCTTAGTTATGTTGCTTTCTATTTTTATGGAGGCTTTAATTGTTTGCTTTTCACGAATTCCTATTTGTTTGTGCTCAAATCATTGACTTTTTCCTGCCTTGTGGCCCAGGAAGTGAAGAAAATGTCTTCCGATACAGGAAAGGAAAATGCATCTGTCGTTGATTCTTCAGTGACTGATTGGAAACTCGACATGGGAAATTCAGATGATCTAGGTAATTCTGACATGCAAGTCTTGTTGAGTACTAATAACCTGTACTGTATATGTGCTGGATTAATTGTTTGCTACTTGATAAGCAAATATACTGAAAGCTTGAATTTATTGTCGGTGGTTGTGCTGGTTCTTCCTTGTCAATACAGATACACATGGCACAGTTGCGTACTTAATACTTCTGCCAGTATCTATCTACTGTTCTCTATATCAACATATTTAGCTAGGGTCATGGCAGCTGGTTTAGACTACTTTCCCTGCTGCTCAATTGCATCAGAAGATGGCTTCTGCTGATGTTACATTTACTGTCTTTTAGACGACATTGTTAAACATTCTTCACACTTCACAGGAGCCGTTAGCAGTTTCACAATATCAATCTCTTTGGATGAATGCAGCTTTGCTGTTTCTTATTTTTGGAGCTATAGATACTATAGCTGTGATTGATTTTCTTGTGGTTTTCTCATGCTGAGTGGAGTTAGACCTGGTATTTCTCAACGAATTTGGGGCCTTTCCCAATTTTTTTCTGTTCTATTATGCTTGGCATACCGTCTGGGATCATATGCCTCAAGCCCTGACTTAGGGATTGTCTTATATAAGAGGATGAAATCTGGGACTTGAATAGAATAGAATAAGTGTAAGATTTAACTATTTCTGGTGTGCAAAAGGCCCTATGGCAGGTACCTTCTACAATACAAGTTGGCAATGCCTCACAGACACTGACTGGTCTATTGAACCTCAGTGCACTTCTATTTTCGTTTTCTTCTCAAGACCGACTCTCCCGTTTTCTATCATTTCCCTCACTTTCTTCTTAGCTTTCACAACTTCCTGTTTTGAATATCAGAAGTTTGAAAGCTAATATTAAGACTTGATTGTTTATTGTAGAGAGCCCGAGCTACAAAGGCGATGGTGATGGTTATACTAGGAGTGTAAATGCTAGTCGTCATATGGTAGGAAAACAGTCTGTAAGCATCAAGGGTAGGTTGTATGATACAAGGTACTTCATCATTAAAAGCTTGAACAGTCATAATCTCCAACTGTCGGTCGATAAAGGAATTTGGGCTACTCAGGTCATGAATGAGCCAATTCTAGAAGAAGCCTTTCATGTAAGACTTTGACTATATTGGCGCATTTTGTCATTTTTTCCCGCTTGATGCTTTACTTGAGAATTATCTTGGCTTGCAGAATTCCAGCAAAGTCATTTTAATATTTAGTGTCAACATGAGCGGTTTTTTCCAAGGATATGCTCAAATGATGTCTTCCATTGGATTGAGGCATGACCATATATGGAGTCAGGGAAGTGGTAAAAGTAATTCTTGGGGCCGAAGTTTTGAGGTCAAATGGTTGCAATTAAATGATCTGCCTTTCCAGAGGACACTTCACCTATATCACAATATTTAATGGATATTAAAAATAATTTGCATCTCAATCTCCAATATCTAATGGATATTACACAACACAATAACTAGTAATAGTAGTTAAAACTATTCTTTATTCTTCACCTTTAAAAGTATATAGTCAACTTGTAGTGTGGTTCGGAGATATGATGAATATTTTGTACTATAATAAACAATGTTTTTTCATGTGAAAATATGATGCGAGTCATTCGGGTGATCCGCAATCCACTCACCATCCACTCACGTAAGTGCGGGTGAGACATTTATCAATCCGCAATCCACCTACATCAATCACCTATTGCTTGCTGGTCGGGTTATTTGTGGGTGGATCGATATCAATCCACGGATTAACCACCTGTGTGCCCACCCCTGCTATCAGCCACCAAGGTCATCAACAGAGACCACGAGTTCAAATCTGGCGGCAGAGATTACGAGGATTCCGGACGCAGTTGCGATCTCTATTCTTGTTCTCGATGGAGTGTTCAGCTCCGCTACAGGTCTCTCCGGCTCCGGACTAGAGTTTGAGCTTTCAAGGAAGAGAGTGTCAGCGCGGTGATGGAGGAGAGGGAACTGTTGAGGAAATTGGACGGATTTGGGGCTGCTGGTGGTAGTGCAGGCAAGTACGGGAGTAACAGATCGTTTAGTAATGGAAGTTCGGTTTCGACGGAGGGAGAGGTGAATGATGGGAGTAACGTTCGATTGACAAGTAGGTGAATGGGAATGGCGGTGTTTTCGCGGCGGGGAAGGTGGAGGATTGGAGGAAGAAGCGTGAAGCTTTTGGTTTTCATTTTACTTTTAATTTCTTAATAGTTGTGAAAAATAGGTGAAAAATTAAAAAGTTTAAATTTTATTTTTTATTATTTTTTAATTTCCACGTCACATATTTAATGATCAACTATGAGAGTTGACTGCCACATAAGCTAAAGTTAACGGAGACTAACGGAGAGTGACCAAACTTGAACTATTAGACTATTCCGAGTGACCATGAATGAAATTAAATATTTTTGGTGACCAAACGTGAACATTTTTAGTAAAATCAATGACCAAACTTGCAATTTACCCTAATTTTTTGGGCATTGCTATTCGTCGCCCTAAAATACCTTATTCGTCGCCCTAAATTTTATTAAAATGACTCAAATATCCTTAAATTAATTTTTATCTTTCAAAACACTAAAACTCAATTACAAAATAAAGTATAAAAAATTTAATGAATTAAAACCTACAACTACACCAAATGTAACAATTAAAAAAGAATATCCAAAAAATTAAAAAAAAATATCAACAACTACCAATTTCCTCCGCCGCTTCGCCGCCACCTTCCATGTCCCTCTGCAATTCTCAAAAAAAATAAGGAACACCAATGCTGGGAAATTGCGATGAAGAGAGGAATTAATGTTGATGAATCGATGATTTTTGGCCTAATCGGTTGCAGATGGGCTTTTTCCCCGTTCCATATACCACAACGGCAGGTTGGAAACCTGTCGCCGGGGAGCTCGGACTGGTCGGCAACCTCTCCTGGGCGGCGACCTTCTTTTTCTTCGTCTTCTTCCTGCTGCTTGGGATCGACTCCGGCACTAGAAGCAGAGCATCGGCGACGGTCGAGAAGAATCCGACACCGGCAGCAGCGGACGGAGGATAGAGGAGTCGGCGGCGGCTGGCAAGGATGTTTGTTTAAGGTTTTGGTTAGAAATTGGGATCAGAGGGTAAAGGTGTCAATGTGATGTATTTTAGGTAGGGCTGGGAAAATAGACCAGACCGTTAGAAAAACCGTGGTCCAAACCGTACCGCACAGTTTGGTCCGGACCGTAGACCATAAAGTATGGTCTGGTCTGGTCCATGGTCTGTACTATTTTATGTTTTGATATCTTGGTCTGGTCTGGTCTAGACCGCGGTTTACCGGACCAAACCGTGAACCCAACTGACTTGTAAATACGTGTTAACAGCCCATTCGACCACTCTCCCAACTCCCACAACGATACTCAAGTCTCAACCTTAGTTTTGTGAATCTCGTCCCTCCTTAATTCATAACCACATTTAACTAGAGAGTAGAGATAATCGTGTCTCTATATGACATTATGTTAATGTTTATGACGTTATGGTGCAAGTTGGGATGCTTTTACTTTGTATCTTTGGTATGTACTAAGATTTAGAGTATCAAAATTATTCATGCATGTTAGGATTGATGATTTAAGGCAAATAACAATTATTTTTTCTGGTTATTGGTTCAATTTTTTGTGTGGTTGACTAAACAAATTATTCATTTTTCGTTGAGTGTGGTCTATGTGGACCAGACAAGACCGAACCAGACCGCACAGGCGTGGTCTGGACCGAACCGTATAGTCTGTGGTCTGGTCTGTGGTCTATACTTTAGCCTCTCGGTCTGGACCATAGACCGTATAGATGGTCTGGTCTGGACCAGACCGCACCGTTTCCCAGCCCTAATTTTAGGGCGATATAATTTAAATTTTAGGGCGACGAATAGCGATTCAGAATTTTTTACTAGTTTTACATCTAACTACTAAAAATGTAACTATAAAAAAAACTACTAAAAATGTAATTGATTAGCATGATACCAACCCCTAATATATAGCAATTAAATGATGCTGTAATAGAGGGGGATCATTATGGAGAACAAAACGAGTTGCTCTCCAACTCCAAGTGAAACAATTAAACGTATCTCCTGTAAATCTTACTACAAAGCCCCATGTTTGAACTTATTCTCCATGTTGGGCCTATACAGAGCTTCTTCTTCCAATACGAAGTCAGAGTTGAGCCCAACCCCCAGTCCAACATCAACAAAATTGCCATGACTCTCAGTCTCTCACAAATCCACGGGCTCAACGTGCGATCCACATTGTACAAGCCACAAGGTCAGCTTCTTGAAACCCTAAAAATCTGTGACAAGCAAAATCGACTCATGGCTTTTTAAGAGAACTAGCACAGGCCCGGCCCTTTGGCCGGGAAAGTTTTGGCGGTTAATGATTAGGCATTTTTTATGTAATTTTGACGTATATAATGTTTGTTTGTTCGTGGCAAATAAATTTGATAGGTGGATTGGATTGGTGTATTCATGAATCACGTGGATTGGACCAAATAGACTGGTGGATTCATAGATTAAATCAAGTGGATTGATGGATTGATCCATGAATCCAAATGACATCCAAGTTTTGGACCATTATGATATTATCAATGTTTATATATCAAAATTACTTGTCCTTAGTGATGATACGAGATGGTATCTTACTCATAATTCATAATGTATTGATTGTCACATGTTGTGGGGTTTTTCAACTGATCATCATGGATCCATCGAGGAAGTCTTCCCTTCCCGGAGCCGTATCCATTAACAGGGAATTTTTTTCTCTCTTCCTTTTCTCGTGTCAGTTTCGTGTCTTTTCGCTCCTTGGAGCTTTCATAGAGCTGCCCACTAGTGGCATAACAGGCTCTTTTATCGGGAGTCTGGTTGCATACGGGCTACCGTTCTTTATTTTTATGTATTTTGTATCTTGTTGTCCGACCATGCCCTAGGGCTTATCTTGGATAAATAAAATGACTTTCATTTACCTGCAGGTTCATCAATTCATTGTTCGGCAAAGTTTGATGCTGAGATAAAGGCAGGGACGGGTGGAGTTGCGGCTTTTGTTCTGGTGGACGATGCAGGGGGGCTTCTCTTGGCATCAGTCACCCATTATCATGGGATTTGGGATCCTTTCACCGTTGAAGCGTTAGCCCTTCGTGATTGTCTGCTGGAGTGTCGTCGGCGCCGATTATACTCGATTAACATTGGTAGTGATGCGAAAGTCCTGATTGATAAATGTTGGCAAAAAGATGTTTCGGATGCTAGAGCAGGATCAATTCTTCAAGAGATCTGTTCTCTTTTGGAGGATTCTCATGGTTCTCAAGTTCATTTCGTTGGTCGATCTAGAAACAGAGTGGTTCATTCAGTAGCTCGTTAGGCTCTCTTGCTGTCGCCCCGCTTTCATAGAGGGTTTGACTACGTTTCTTGGTTCAATAGCCGATAGGTTCTTTGTAATCTAGCATTATTATTATCCTCTTTTTAGAGTGATCGATTGAAAAAAAAAAAAAAACCGGAAGCCCAGATTTACTCTGTCATCCCACGGCTCCCAACCAATGAAGTCCATCACTTAAGCTTCAAACTTTAGTTGGACATGGATCCTTCTTCTTGGTCAGTTCATTTAGAAGATGATATGTTTTTGTTTTTTGGATTGAGAATTCGGAGATGATATTGTTCACTTTTCAATTATGATCTGCGATTTCGCATGGCTAATACATTTGAGAGCATAGAATTAATAAAAAATCAAAATTGAAATCTTTCAATTGATCGCTGGCGACTCATGAATCATGATCACGTCCAGTTCAACAATGACATTGAAATCCAACCCCCAAAAAGGTAGGGTAATCAAATATGTTTAGGTAGCGGACTAGTTTGCTCTTTTTAAAGCGTTCTCAGACTACTTTGTATTTGCGCACATTAAATTATCAGTTAATAAACCTCCGAAATAAAACAACCAAGCTGTATGAAACTTGGTTTGTGCAAAAATCGGTTCTCTTAGGAAAAACATTATCTTTTGTGTTTATGGTCTCTGAATTATGTGTTTAGAGAGTCTGAGAGGTTTGTTATTTATAGGAGCAGAAATCTCCGAATTTCCCTTTACCTTAAGAATTAGCCATGTGGTTTTGGAAGATAATTAATTTATTAATTAGGTAAAAGATTCGATAAACTATCCTATATTATTTTCGTTTTCGTACCAGAAAATTATACCGGATTAATTTGAAATTTCTCAAAAAATAGGAAAGAAAGCCGAAAACACCAACACAAGTCTCTCAGTTTGATACCACAACATCAAAACCAACAACAACAGCTACAGTTTTTTTTTTTGTTTTTTTTGTTTTCTCCATTGGAGCTATGCTCGCAATGCACCCGTCGACACCGCAAAATCAAACCCAAAACAGAAAAAAAACGGAAGAGAAAAGAAGGAAGAACCCGGCCGCCTAGCTAGTAGAACTAACTCAAAGGCAGTGAGGGTGCGCCTTTGGAGATGCTGTTTTTTCCGCCGACATTGCAACTCCCAGCACTACTACTACTCCCGCTGCTCCGAGAACCACAGCCGCCGCCGCCGGCAGCAGGAGGAGGAGGAGGTCGGAGCACCACTTGCTTAGCGCTTCTAGAACGGTGGCGGCCGCGATGCATGTGCTTGTCGCAGTACTTCTGATCAGGCAAAGCCTCTTTGCTACACCTCCATTTCTTCCCGTCAGTTCTCCTGCACCTCCCTGGCTCCGGATCCAGCTGTCCCCCGTTCTTGTAGTACTCCATACCCATCATTTGATATGAAACTTTTGTCCACCGGAACGGAAATTTGTAGGTTCAATAGATCACAATTCGAACAAAATTGAATGACAATGAAGATGATAGAGGCACTACATGAATTACTTACAGCTGGGGAAGAGATGATGCAAGGTAGGGTGGTGGTGGTGGCGGCGGTGGAGAGGGACGGCGGCGAGGCTCCTCCAGATAGGGACAAGGAGGCTGGGAGGGACTCTGGCTCCGGCCTCTATATACCTGTATATCACTGATTGCAGCTGCAGCTCTTGCAGCTGCGGCAGTGTAAACCCATGGACCATTGATTTCCCCACCGCCTCCTCTTCTCCCTGCTGCTGCCGATCGTCGCCAGCACCGCCGCCGGTTGTAAGGCCCAGGCCCAGCCCCACTGAAGGCAGATTCTGATTACCAGCAGTCGTCGCCGACCCATGGGCCGCAACAGCTGCTGGGTCCATGTTCCACATCAACATCCCCTCCAAACCTGCAACATTTAAAGTCAATCCATAGAATAATAAAATGATAATCACTAGATAGAAGAAGAACAGAAGGTTCTGAAATCAGTAGCAGCTGTACCGGTGGCAGGGTAGTCTGAAGAGAGACGAGGAATCTTGAGAGGTGGGGCTGCTGCTGCTGCCACTGCAATGCTGTTGTTGTTATTATTACTCTGAGATGGATGATGGCAGGGCAGTATCTGCCGCAGCTTATTATTATTGCTGTTGTGATTGTGCGGCATTGTTGTATTATTATATTAGGAAAACAGAGGAAAACAGGGGAGCAGAACAGGGGAAAACAGAGCAAGCTCTGGAGAAGGGGTTTGCAGTGTTGTTAGAGATGTGAGTCAGATATAATGGCAGGAGGGCAGGGCCTGCCAGTCAGCGCCCCAACGTAACCTTCAATGGGTTCAGTGCAGTAAATGACATAACGACATGCATACTTTTTTTTTTCTTCTTCTACTTTTTTCTGACCAGTTTTGATTTTGTTATGAATGGTTTGGAGGTTAGTGAAGACTGGAAGGGAGGCTAGGGGTTTTATGAAACGGAAGTAGGGTGTTTTGTTGTGCAGGTGTTGCTGAAGCTGAACCCACACACACGTGTGTCAGGCATTCACACCCTAGTGTAGCTACGTATCTGTCTCGAACTGAATTTTGTTATGGTGACAGAGTGTAGTTGGGGGGATGGTGATATTGTGGGATTATGTGTTTCATAGATTAAAAATAATCGACTATACAATTATTATTTTTAACAACGGAGAGATTTCATATTGTAAAAGAAACGCAAAAACATTTGCCGTCTACACTATTAAATAAGTCTTTGTCAATGTATCTCACTAAATTAGCATTAGCAAATTGGTTGCCAAATCGACTTGAAAACTTGTTCTTAATATAACTCAAAGCTGAAAATGTTCTTTTTACATTTGCAGTTGTAATTCGTAGAATCAAAACTAGTGGAATTGTCGATGTCGCTAGACAATTTCAGGGTTGTTGGGAAAAAATCGAATAGGCATAAGGAGAAAAGAGATCCGATTAGGTCTTTATTGCAATTAGAATTCGTTTATAGTATAATAAATTAATTTTATGTCAATTTATGAATAAGTAATGAGTTGTGCTGTAGTGACAAAAATACTCTAATAATACTACCTATAGGCATTGTTTTGCATCACCAATATACATATATATGACATATTTTTGTTCCTCCGAAATTTACCCCTGTCCCGGGACAAGGCCCAATGGGCCTCCCTCCGCCTATGAATGGTTTAGTGTTTTTTAGTGGGGAAAACTTACGTCGATTTGATTCAATTGTGTATTGATTATTTTGTCGGTGATTACTGAGATACGGGTTTGTATCTATTTGAATAAAGTTTCAACGAATGTGTTTGATTGATGATTTTTGAAAACAAAAGTATATTAAGTTACTCATATACTTATGAATGTTTAGTGAGAGTTTCAAACTACTACCACGAAGAACTGCTCCCCCTCATCATCTTGAAACTATCGTACATGTTGGAGTGTAGCTTGCTTCGCGCTTGGTCTTGCTCCAAATCTCGCTATTGTGATGAAATCTTATGTTATGAGAATCATCTGATGAGCTTGTGATGTCTTGAGAAGCGAGGCTGAAACCTTCTCGTCTCGCGGTCATGCACTTCTGACGTCATGTCCATGACCCTCTAGTGACATGTCAACAACCCTTTATATGAATGGAAGTATGAAATTCAATACTCAATTTTTTCGAGGCAAAATTCATAATAGCTCTCACATTCCATCTCGACTGATTTTCCTTCTCAACCAACAACGACCTCAAGGAAAGTGATACTGGGAGGTCTGTAAAACGCCTCTAGAGTCTAGATCTCTATTCTGCTATTCCATTCGGCCGAAATAAATTTAACCGGTGAAAAAAAAAAAAAAAAACTCTAGGTGTTGATTAAGATTTAAGCGTATGGCTTAGATCATGTGACACATACAACAGACATGTGTATTGCTGCAGGGGAGGAAAGGGGAAGACCGGAAAAGTAGTTGAGGAGCTAGCAATAGCATTGAAGGTGCCAACATGATTTTTGTCAAACAGTAACAGTCGTGGTTCAGTAACAGAGTCATAATAATCATTGTACTCATAATTTTGGGTAATGGAATGGGAAAGATGCCAAACTCGTGACTATTAAGCATGCAACAACAGTAACCTAACCAGTCCTGCAATTCTTTTTTCCATAAATAAGCATGTATATTAAGCAAGAACAGTAACAGTAGTTTGAGCTTTATTAATTATTCGAAAAGGAAGATGATAAGGATGGTGCATGCAAGAGAGTAAGGTGCAGTTACACTAAGCCTCGTTGTTGGAGGTGGCAAATGATATGTATTCATAATTGTGGATTTATAGCCTAAACAGATTGGTGAATATTGGAGAAAAAAAATATTAGTGGATTGGATATGCACCTAAGTGACATCTAAACATTGGATCATATCAAAATTTTGATAAATTTAGGTACTAAATTGTTATAATAGAAAATTTTAGGTACCAAAACTTAATTTTCCAACGATATTTTTTGTTTTATTTAGAAATAAATTTTAGATGCCAAATTGTAAAATATAACCATATAGGCACTAAACTATAATTTATAAATAATACATGAATCCAGTCTATGAATTTACCAATCTAATGAGATTTGGATAAAATGGATTGAGATTAATTGGATTAAAAATTGTTACCACCACTCGTTGTCCTTATATCCTTTACATATAACCTATGTATGTTCCGAAATTTTTTAACAATTACAAAGAAATTTAAAATAGTATAGGAAATTTAATAAAATGATTGTCGTTAACCCAACACATAATATTTCATATTTTGTGTCATTGATAGTGAGATTAATACACCGTAATAGTAGGGAACAAGAATTTGATCTATCAAGTAATTCTCAACCTTTGAGGTAAAAGAAACAATAGTAGTAATGTTAGTTTTCTTTCACGAACGAGGCATTCTTTGACAGAGAAAACAAATTTACTAACCACAATCCACGTACCACCAGAGAAGAAGGCTTTTTATACATATGGATTTTGCTTCTATGATAGAATCGTAAAATATTTCATTACTCCATCAACTAACTATAGATAAAATTAAACACTTTTGCGAATTTGATAACTAATTGTTTATAATTTGAAGCTCAATATTTAATAGACATTACACAAACATAATAACAAATAGTAGTAATCCATGATGGTTCTTTGTTTACCGCCTATAAAAATTGATGGTCAGTATTTAGAATATATCATATGACCCTTTGATAGTATACAAAATAAATGAAGATTGAAGAGTTGAGACTTAAGAACAGATTTTCTTGGAATAATGTTCCATTTTTTTCTAATTATGATATATGTCATTGAGTTTCAATGGGTAGATCTGTCATGCAAACATATCATTAATTTTTTTTAAATTAACAAATATAAAACAAAAATACGAGCTACATTTGTCGTTCGAAAAAAATAAAAGATATAGACGAGTGCAAATTAAGTTTCAATGTTAGTTACATTAATAAATTAATTGCCTAACAATTCATTAAGAATTCTAAACTTCCAAATTCCAAAAAATTTAAACCTCATCAAATTGTCATTTATGCACCTAATTAAGTTGTCGATATTGCCATTGCCAATGTAAGTGAAATTGATACCTAACATTTTCATTTTGGGGCAGGCAGTTTGGTAAATGGCCAGATTCTACAAATAAGCATATAGCAATTCAAGTATTCAACACATGGCATGATAGTGAAGATCGTCTCCCTCTCTGTTATATTTATGTAGCGCAACTGATGCCATACGTACCCCAAACCAACCGCCAGAGAAATGGAGGACTTCCTCCTCAGTTGCCTACTCTGCCTCCTCTGCACCCTCACCGTCCTCCAGTTCCTGGCAAGAAGACCCAACAAAACTCCGACCAACCTCCCGCCGGGTCCAGCCCGGCTTCCAATAATAGGCAACCTCCACAATCTGGGCGACCAGCCCCACAAATCACTAGCCGATCTAGCCAAGATTCACGGGCCCTTGATGAGCCTAAAGCTCGGCCAAATCACCACCATCGTCGCTTCTTCCCCTGCCATCGCCAGAGAAATCCTCCGAAAGCATGACCAAGCCCTCTGCGACCGCCAGCTCATCCTTGCCATACAAGCCCTCGACCACCACCAGTCCGGTCTGCCGTGGCTCCCCGTCGAATCCAAGTGGAGGAACCTCCGAAAAGTCTGCAATTCCTGCCTCTTCACTACCCAGAAGCTGGATTCCAACCAGGAGCTCCGCAGGAGGAAGATTGAGGAGCTCCTGGAAGGTGTTCGACGAAATGTCTGTGAGGGGAAAGCGGTGGATATCGGGAGAGAGGCGTTCAGGGCCACCTTGAATGCTCTGTCCATGACGATTCTTTCGTTGGATCTCGCAAATGATGACGAGGGATGCGCCAAGGAGTTCAAGGAGATTGCGAATGGGATTATGACAGAGGCCGGGAAATCCAATTTGGGAGACTACTACCCTGTTCTGGGCAAGATGGATTTGCAGGGAATACAGAGGCGGACGAGGACTCATTTCCGGAGAGCTCGGGAACTGTTTGGTTCAGTGGTCGAAGGACGGCTGGTGAAGCTGAAGTCGGAGAGCTATGTCTCCGGTAATGACATGCTCGACACACTTCTTGCCTTTGGAGATGAGAATAGTCACGGGGCTTCCATGGATACAGAGCAGATTAAAAGCTTGTTTTTGGTGAGTTCCTATATGTTCCAAATATTTTTTTCATTTAAAAACAAGTAAATGAAAAACATTTCGTGAGTTCCTATGCTATATTGTCACCATTCTGGCCATGAAACATCAGGATCTATTTATAGCTGGGACTGATACAACTACAAGAACTTTAGAATGGGCCATGGCTGAGCTCTTACGCAATCCCAATGCACTTACTAAGGTACAAGAAGAACTAGATCAGACGATCGGAAAAGGAAATCATCTTGAAGAATCAGACATTCATCGATTACCCTACCTACAATCGGTTATCAAAGAGACTTTCAGATTACACCCAGCAGTTCCACTTTTACTCCCACGAAAGGCAAGATCGGATGTTGAAATTGGCGAGTTCACCGTGCCCAAAGACGCACAAGTTCTCGTCAATGCATGGGCTATAGGTCGGGATCCATCCGTATGGGATGATCCCAATTCGTTCGTGCCAGAAAGATTTATGGGGTCGCAGGTTGATGTCAAAGGGAATCAATTTGAGCTGATCCCATTTGGTGCGGGAAGAAGGATATGCCCTGGATTACCATTAGCAATCAGGATGTTGCATATGATGTTGGGTTCGTTGGTTCATTGGTTTGATTGGAAGTTAGTGGATGGTATCGTGCCAGAGGCATTGGATATGGAAGAAAAGTTTGGGCTTACTATGGAGAAGGCAAAACCTTTGGTTGCTATTCCGACTCTCAGATAAAATCATGAGACGGATGGTAGGCATTTGTACTATTATAAATAATGGAACTACACATAATCAATTATATTTTGGACGTAACGAAATACTTCTATTGATAAGTAAAGTGAACTATTCTACTCACACTTTGGGAGGTACCACTATGTGAAAGTTCAGGTGAACTCATTCATCTCTTTAGCGTGTTTCGTTTCATTTCACGATGTGTAAGTATAATAGGACTGTTAATATCGTGAGAAAACAAGTCATCTCATTTTTGGTTCAGCAGCTTGTGAGTTGTGACCAACGTATTTTACTTTTTCTTACTATGATATGCAAAGATGTTGTATATATTTGTATCTTGCTATTTTGTTTTAGAATATCTTCGAGATCCAGAAAAAAGAAAGTGGAATTTATATTATGGTTTGCAAGAAAATAATTTTTATATATTTTCTATAATATTAATAGTTTGTTGTGGTCGGACCGACTTTAGTGTTTTCAACTCAAGCATATTACCAAAGATATATGAGTTGTTAGAGAGTGATGTAAGATCCATAATTAACATTCTCCCAACAACTCGAGTTATTGGGATCAACTGGTTATTGACATGGTATTAGAGCTTTCTGTGATCGAGAGGTCTTTTGTTCAAATCGTGATGACACTCATCTGCTTGTGTTAAGCACATAGTATTCGAACTATATAAGTCGGCTTTTGTTTGAGAGGGTGTGTTAATAAATGATACTATAACCTGAGTAAGAAAATGCTATCACGACCTCGAATTAACCGACTTTTTGGGCATGCAACTTACCATAACCCTTGATGAGTGAACAATAGGTCTTAGTTATCTAAATCATAGAGCTTAACTCCTAAGATTGTGAATGTGATTTGTTGTATATATTTCGACGAATCATAACCGTACATTAGTATTTCTGATTAAATTGATATTAGTGTATGAGATTTATAGAATTTAGACCTAGATTTTAATCTTTAAGGGTTAGATGCCAAACTCCGGTCAATGTAAGGTATATATATAATTTTCTTACTCAAGGTATGCTCCACCTTTGATTTTACCCAATGTATGCTATAACTTTGATTTTACTCATGGCGTCTTTAGTGCACTCACTTTTTTGGGTGCATTCAATGCATTGGCTTCATAACCGTCATTTTAAACATGTGATTTATGTCAAAATGATGTCAATCATCACTTATAATGTGATGAACAATAAAACACACGAATTTGCACAAAAATCACTCAAGATTTGCTTTCATTTGAAGGATTTGGAGTTTAGAGATTTAGGGTTAGGGTTAGGGTTTACAATTTGGGGTTTAGGGATAGAATTCAAAATTGGAGCTCTAGGCTTAAGGTAATCCGTTAATTAGTTGTGATCATATGTTATATCATCATATTACACTAATTCTACAAATTAAAATTCAAAATCCGACACCTTAAGACTAGTTCTTGAGTTGGGTGAATTGAACGCACTCATTTTTGTGAGTGCATCGAAGTAGTCACCATAAATATATATGTATCAATGGTATGGGGTAATGAGTTTGGTGTGTCTACCTGAATTGTGTTAGTCTCTTAGCAGTTATCGAAAGCTGAAAAGTCCTTTCTTTTAGGTTTTCATCTAACATAATGTATGAGCTTTATCTAAATCAGAAGCACATATATTGTTGCCTACACTCTACAATAAAACATATATAGTATAAGAACAATCAAGAGCTTTATTTTTTATGAATAAAAAGAGAGAAATGTTTGAATCTTGAGGTCGTATGCAAAGTATTAAATATGTGTTATATGATGTATTAAATATATGACTACTTGCCTAATTGATTAGTTGGTTTAATTGATTAATAGCTAGTATCTGAAACCAAATCAAACTCTCCTAAACTAAACAAATTAAAAAAAATTAATCCAGTCAAATTATTCAAATTAACCAAATCATACTATCCGAATACTACCAATTAATATAGTTATTATAATAACCACTTCATTTCAACACTCTTTTTGTGGGAAAAAAGAAAACAATAACTCATATGTTGTTTGATTGCATGATTACAAATACAATAACCAAGATCCTCTTCAAATCAAAATATAGCTTTATGTTCCATCTGAAATCCAACAAGTAAAACTTCATAAAACAATACACGACAAGAGAAGTACTTTTATAGTTGTCGAGAAAAGAGGGCTAGCTCATGCTCTATCTGGGTATTGGAACAACAAGCAAAGGTTTGGCCTTCTGCAAAGTGATCCCAAACTTCTCTTCCATATCCAAGTTCTTTGGCTCAACTCCATCCCCCAGCTTCCAATCAAACCAATGAATCAAAGAACCAAGCATCATGTGCAACATCCTCATTACCAATGGTAATCCAGGACATATTCTTCTACCAGCACCAAATGGGATCAACTCGAAGCTATTCCCCTTGGGGTCAACGTCTGATCCCACAAACCTTTCCGGCACAAACGAGTTGGGATTGTTCCATGTAGCCGGATCCCGACCTATAGCCCATGCATTGACCATGATTTGCGATCCCTTTGGCACAACAAAGCCACATATTTCCACATCTGCTCCCGCCTTGCGAGGGAGTAGCAGAGGAATCGCGGGGTGTAACCTGAAGGTCTCTTTGATTATAGACTGAAGATAGGGTAATCGAGAGATGTCTGACTCTCGAAGATGATTACCACTTCCGATCTTTTGGTCTAGTTCTTCCTTAGCTTTAGCGAGTATGTTGGGATTGCGAAGCAATTCTGTCATTGCCCATTCCAACGTGCTCGAAGTCGTATCTGTTCCAGCTACGAATAGATCCTAATAATACCACCAAACCAAATATCAATCATTATTGGGGAAAACAATACTAATCCATAGCCATTGGTTCATAGATCATAGTGTTGAAATGGAAAAATATCAAGAATAGGTACACAATATTTTCTTTGTTTTTTTTAACATAGCACAATATTTTCTTTGTTTCTACCCCACAACTTGTGGATTTTCCTTGGACTGTCTTCCTTAAGTCAATAATAATACTCCTTTCCCATCGATTTGATGTTTAGAAATAGAATGGTCAAGTTGCACAATATACCACAATATTTTTACCAGTTCGACTCAAAATATGGTGCATAACCTTAGGGTGCTTAACATGATTAATTAAATCTGTAATTTTTTTAAAGTGTCTCCAGATCTAAGGGTTGTAAATTAAAGACATTTTATTTTCCCTATTTTTCTTAATTGGATAATATCTTCTTCATTCTAAATCGAATTTCAATTTTTTTTGCACAGATGAAACGAGTTCGTTGTGCTCTACAAAACGAGATCCATTTTCAATATTTTTTGAGAACAAAATTTTCATACCTCCCATTACCAACTCCATATCATATGGTATCTCTTTCGTTTTTTAGTCGATTTCGGAAATTTTTGCACAGAAGGAACGATTTAATCATGATCTATTAAATTTCAAAAATTCTGAGTGAAAAAATTTCATACCTCTCTTTACCAACTCCATACCATACTATACCACCCTGGTATGAGTTGGTTTTTTCATACCATATGGTATTCTCTTATTTAATACCGGTCAATACCATATGGTATATACTGGTAATAACTGGCCCAATTTTTTTTGTTCCAAAATATATCGAAGTGAATATTATTTTGAAGAGCACAATTAGATCAGATTAATTGTGCAAAAAAATTTAAATTCCGACTTAAAACGAATGAGAAATCGTCCGCTAAATATTAAGGGGAAAAATTAAAAGCTTTCGAGGAGGGAGAAGGGGCGCAAATGTGGTGAATTCTGATTGGGTGCACAAGGTTATGCACCTGACCCGCTCCTTACTGCTCAAGATACCGTGCATAACCCGTGGTTATGCACCCATTAATAACTAAATCTGGGCCATTCATTCAGAAAATTCAGATATAAGGGTGGAGAATTAAACGCATTTTTTATTTTCCCTTGTTTTTTTAACCGTCTCATATATTCTTCGTTTTAACTCGGATTTCAAATTTTTTTTTTGCACAGATGGAACGAGTTCGTTGTGCTCTACAAAATGAGATCCATTTTCAATATTTTTTGAGAAAAAAATTTCTTGCCCTCGGTACCAACTCCATACCATATGATATCTTCTTCGTTATTAATTCATTTTTGAAACTTTTTGCATAGCCTGAACAAGTTCATCATGATCTATTGGATCTACAAATTTTTGGGTGAACAAAATACAGGACCAAAAAATACCACACAATACCACAGTACCACCCTGGTACGGGGTGGTATCTTGATGTACACAATGTTAAAGTCGTAAATGAAAGTTAATATATTTCTACTATCATGTATTCAACCATCCTACATTCTTGTTTTGTTCATACCACCATGGTACGCTTTTCATACCATAGGTATGTTCTTATTTCAATATCGGTCAATACCAAATGGTATAGATTGGTAAAAAATGGCTCAATTTTTTTTGTTCAAAAAATATATCAAAGTGGATATCAAGAGCACAATTAATCTGATCTAACTGTGTCAAAAAATTAAATTTTGACTTAAAACGAATGAGAAATCATCCGTTAAGAAGGGAAAAATTAAATGCTTTTCAGAAGAGAGAATGAGCACTGATATAATTGAGTTATGCATAGTTATTGACCAGAAGGATATTAAGAGGATTTGCTCCCGCTCTCTACCGGCTCCGTTACCTCGTGTTGTTTTTAGATCTCTTACATATTTTTCGACTGTCTATATTCCTTTTTTATTTCAATGAAGAAATCTGTTAATGTGTTAGTGTGGATATTTTCCTAAATACAAAAGATGAGGATGAACATGCATGCATCTAGCTCCTATTATTGACCTTGTCTTTTTCCCCTTTTGGAAGAGTCTAATTAATGAATAATGGCCGTATTGATAAGGTATGCTAAAAAAAAACTAATTCAAGAGATATATTACTATCGAGACCATTTAGAGATAAGTTGACATTGTTGAATTAATGAATTTTGTGTTCTATTTATTTTGGGTTTATCCGACGTGAATCTGTACTCATGTTTGCATTGCTTTAGATTGAACACGTTTAATTTTAAATCAAAATAAGTCTTGTTAGTTAACATTGGTTTTATACAGCTCAACGAATTATAGAGGGAAAAAAAACACATTTTAAACTCACCAAAAACAAGTGTTTGATGCGAAGTGGATCCATAGCAGCCTCGCGGTTTCGATCATCTCCAATAGCCAGCAGCGTGTCGAGCATGTCGTTGCCGGAGACGTAGCTCTCCGACTTCAGTTTCTCCAACCGATCGTCGATCACCGAACCAAACAGCTCCAAAACTTTCCCAAAGTGAGTCCTCATCCGCCTCTGTATCCCCTGCAAGTCCATCTTCGCAAGAACAGGGTAATAGTCACCCAAATTGGGCTTCCCTACCTCGTCCATAATCCCCCTGGCAACCTCCTTAAACTCCCTGGCCGTCTCCGATCCCTCATCGTCCGCCAGATCCAGCGACAGAATCGTCGACGACAGCGCATTCAGACTTGCCCTGAACGCTTCTCTCCCGATATCCACCGCCTTTCCCTCTCGCGCATTTCGTCGAACACCTTCAAGGAGCTCTTCGATCTTCTTCCTACGAAGCTCCTGGTTGGAATCCAGCTTCTGGGTAGTGAAGATGTAGGAGTTGCAGACCTTTCTGAGGTTCCTCCACTCGGATTCCACGGGGAGCCACGGCATGCCGAACCGGTGGTGGTCGTGGGCCTGTATGGCGAGGCCGAGGTGGCGGTTCGAGAGGACATGGTCGTGCTTTTGGAGGATCTCTCTGGCTACGGCAGGGGAGGAAGCGACTATGGTGGTCACCTGGCCGAGTTTCAGGCTCATCAAGGGCCCGTGGATCTTGGCTAGATCGGCTAGTGATTTGTGGGGCTGGTCGCCCAGATTGTGGAGGTTGCCTATTATTGGAAGCCTGGCCGGGCCCGGCGGGAGTTTGGGCCGTGTTTTGTATGGTTTTCTGGTCTGGAAATAGAGGATGGTGATCAGGGTTAGGATGAGGCAGAGTAAGGAACTGAGGTAGAGGTCCATTTCGATCTCTGGTTGCTTGATCGGTTTCAGCTTGAAAAGATATTAGAGAGACAGAGAAAGAAGATTTGGTAATTGCGAAGATCCCTCTTCTGACGTCTGGCGGCTGTATGTAAACAAGAGGAATGGTGCCCTAAGATAAGAGTAGTGATAATGTAATGTAGGACAGCTCAGGAAGGGTATATATAGATATTGTTTATCTAAAGACTCAGCTACGTGGAGGAAATTGTGAGACTGTATATTATAATAATATAATGGATGGTCATATTTTTTATTCGAAAGGAGGGCGAAGTCAACAAAGGGTTACAAGAAGGGAAAGGAAGAGACACTTATCGGTCAATAATCTGTGCTGAGTGTCTAACGCTTTGAATCATTAAAAATTGGATGGTTGCAATTAGACCTGGCAAATTACAACCCGATTCGTTGACCCGATCCGAAACCGTCCGAAAATAAAAAAAAATTGTAACTCAAATCCGAATGACTCGAACCCGGAAACCCGTGATTTTTTGGGTCAGGTTGGATGGGTTAGCGGGTCGACCCGTTCCATTTTATATATCACTCCCAAAATGATGAAATCACTCATAAATTGGTGAGATGTTTTAAAAAAATCACAATGATTTGAATGACATGTTGGAAGTTTAAGGATAATCAAATATCATGTGTTTCTTGTAGTAGTATTACTCTTGTGATTTTTTTTTTTTTTACTATTTGCGCAATTTGTATTTCATTTCATGAGTGTGAGAGGATTTGAGAATATATTAATTGACATGTGTAAAGTAAACTATTGTCATGAATATATGAAAATTTGTGTTCTTTAAGAAAATATAAAGCATATTTGATATTGTTTCTGAAAATGCTCATAACCCAAAATGACTTGTAACCCGACCCGAAACCGAATGGATTGGGTCATTATTTGACCCGAAATCAACCAACCAAACATGACCCGAACCATAGCCTACGTTCCCAACCCTACCCGATTGCTATTTCTAGTTGCAACTTGCAAGGGATTATGAGTCATTCGTTTTCCTTGGGTCCATTGCCATATATCGGATAGGTTCATCTGCACATGTAAAAGCTTTTTCGTGAGATTGTTAATTACTATATTTATGTCGTTTAGAATGCATCTTTTTTTATTTTTTATTTTTTCCATACACAATATGTAGATTGTATCTTTAGTGTGATATAAATTATCATTCGAATGGGTGATTGTTATATTTCATCATTTATTCGTGATTTATAAATTTATATTGTTTTAGTTAAACTTTTAGTTGACGTGACATACATAATCACACGTACCAGATGTTGTATTTGACAATGTATCGAATTTGTTAATGCCTGTATATTAGTATACATGTATTTATAACAATAATGTTTTTGTAAGAATGATATAAGTTTAGTTTTAAAATTAGGTACTACTAAAGGGATTCGAACTTTGGACCACCAGGTCAAAGATTAATTGTTTATCCGGTAGACCAATCTCTTGTTCGTCAACAATACATCTATTTAAAAATCACGATTTACAAACAACCCATGTGAGAGAGGATCCAAATAGCTAAAAAAGATCGAGATTGTGCAAACGATATGTGTGCAACGGTTTGGTCTGGGTGGCATGGGACCAAATTGACATTTTGGTCGGACCATACCAGACCAAATATAATACGGTCCAGTTCTTTGTCCCGCAAATTTTATAAATACTGAAGACAAAAAAAAAAAAAAGAATTATGATTTAGACCAACTCAAATCAGATCAAACTATAACGAATGCAATCATTGTCCAATCGTTAATTATAATATCTCTTATATTATTGGACCGCAATTTTCACATGTTACATATCAAACCGGACCATTCCACACCCTAGCAGATAGTATCCAGAATGAAGGTGGTTTGACATCAATTGATAACCATACCATTTAGGGAGTTGCATATTGCCGTGAGTCTTCATTTCACATGATTAAATCATGGAAAATCGAGTGATAAAGCATGATATGAGCATGCTCTTGTTTCAGAAGATAACAAAATTGGTTGTTGGTGGATGAGAGAGAGGGGGTTGTTGTCTGGAAAATACGACTATTGGAATTGAGCGGTAAAGTGAGAAGTTAAACAATTATGTTATGAACCAAAACTCTGGTTCTTGATAGTGAGGAGAAATCTATGTTTGTGACTGATGCAATCATCCACGAGCCGACTCGTTTCACAATACGCAGCCTACCCATATCATTTTGAGCTGGATCTATCCCAACTTCAGAAGGAAATTACGCTAAATGTTGAAAATGACACTATCGGTAGGTCAATCAAACCGCGAAAATCATGTAGAAAGAAATACGACACACTCCACGGAGAGCTGTAACTAACACAGTCAATATTATTATCACCGAAAATCCTTAACCCTTACTTATCCCCTGTATGTTAAGACGTACTTACTTTGTTCCCTGTTTTTGTGTCATTTAAAATACGTAGACATACTGACTCTGCCCTACTTCTTTTGGGTGTATTGTGAGGGTGGATGTGATGAGGAAATTAGCCTGTTCCTTCACAGAGGAAGCGTTGACAAAGATGTCATCACACAGCTGCAAGGGGAAAGAAACTGGCCTACGAGACCATGGCGACCTCATACCCTCTGGCGTGTGACAGCTGATGCCAAGGCTTTGATTGCCATAGCCCTCTATGAAATGACTAAGAAACATGAATTGTTGCCTCTTTGAGGCCTGATTCCCTGGTTGTTTGTTGCTGTACAATCCTTCCAGACCTTGATACACCAAATGAGCCATCAACGGTGTATTTTAGATCTATAGTTGGCAAGGCAAGCCTAAATAGGCCTCCATTGCACTTGTACACATCTTGTTATCGATATTGTAAGTGTTGTAAACCTGGTAAGTGAAAGATACAGAGAATCATACAAAAGAGCTGCATGAACGGCATTTTTCATTAGACTTTGCTCGCCACAAAATCTTTATCACTAGATTCCCAAATGGTTGTTCCATCACAAGTGCATAGCTTTTTGTAGTTCTCTCCGACTCCAGCACTTCTAGCAATGACAGCTGCTGTCAAGCCTGCATCTGATTTGTCTTCGGTTTCGTACACTGCTATAGATCTGCCAATCAGATCAACGACGCGTAGCTTTTGTTTGACACCAGAGAAGAAGGCATTCCCATTCTCATCGGCTTCTAATGTTCTCAGGTCACCAAGCGGCTTTAGACAAACAAAAGGATCGTCTCCGTTAGAAAATGAGTTGAAAGCATTAAGGGCAATGGAGCAATAAACAAGCTGTATAACATAATATCATGCAGTTATGTAATGTTATCCAAACCTCGTTTCCAGAGCTCTCATTTGGCGGATTAAACACCTTTCCTGTGCTGGCTGCACCATTTGTGAGGTCACCGAACTCGTTGATAGACCATCCGTGTTTTCCAGGTGACAACCCACTGAAATTGGCTTCAATCCTAGCTAATTCCATGTTCACTTGAGCAAAGCGAACTACTCCAAAGATATCTGGGCCTTTGAATTCCGCAACAGCAGCAGACACCAAAAAGTCTGGCATATGCAATAGAAATATGCCACTATGATTAACAGTTGAATCAACGAATGAAGGACTTCAAATGATGTACTAGATATAAGCATCCCATATCAAGGATAATTAAAAGAGAGAAGAAATCACAAGCAATTATGATGAGCACTAAAGCCTTTTGCCTTAAATGTACCATTGGACAATCATTTGAATTCACTGAACAGCAAGATAACTAGATTCCTGGCTTCTGCAACTTGATACTTTCAAGTTGACAGCTATCTTCTATTTGCAACTCACAACTTTCGCATAAATGTACAAGCTATGTCATGTCTTAAATCTAACATTGGACAATCATTTGAATTCACTGAACAGCAAGATAGCTAGAGTCCTATCTTCTGCAAGTTGATACTTTCAGGTTGACAGCTATCTTCTATTTGAAACTCACAACTTTCCCATCAATGTAAAAACTATGAAATGTTTTCAATCTTGCTGACAAAATCCTTCAGCTACTTTGGCAAGCACCTATGCTATGACGCAGAGCTTTAGACATGTGTAAACTATCTGGGCAGTAGGAACAACTGAGGTTTACCAATAACCATTTAAACAAAACGAGGAATTACCCAAATCTGCAAACTCTAGTGAAACCAGATTGCTCATCAGTCGCCATTTAAGAATCAAACAGCTGTTCAGTTGACCTACCTTCAGGAACTCCCTGGCCGATTAGTCGGGCATTTCGACCGGTTTGCTTCAAAGCTTCAGTCATCTCCTTCACAGACGAAGAGCCAAGAACCCTAACCACTTGATTGCTGAAATCCACTTCCACATTCTTTACGCCTGAAGATACTCACCCCATTCATATAAATACAAAAAAATCAACCCAAATCCAAATTACCCCTTCTATATCAATCTGCTATTCTTTCTTCCTCAAAGAACTTACCTTTCACAGTCTGCAACTTGTTCTTCACTGACTTAACACACCCTTCACAGCTCATATCCACCATGAATTCCGTCTGTCAATCATGTCAAGAACAACAATTCGATTCCATTCAGAAACATATTGAAAATTGACAATCCCTAGCCCAGGCATTCAAGTTCTACTAAAATTGGAATTTGGAAATGAATTCGGGCGAGAAGAAAATATTGCAACTTACAAGAAGGTCAGGCAGCAAGTCGCCATTTCCCTGCGGCGATGACAGAGAGATTAAAGATTCGAGCTTTAAGGATCCGAATAGAAAATTTTCAATACAGAAACAGATAGAGAGTTTTCAGAGCTAGAACCTGAGTGGTGGGTTGGTTGTGAGAAAACTGTAAACCCTAGGTAGATTTAGGGTTTCAGGATGAGGTAGAAGAGAAAGGACAATGACAAAGAGCGGCCGTGTTTGTGGAATTGCCGAATTGGCTTCCATTTTCGATCTTGCATTCATATATATACAAAAGTAAAAGAGGTAAAACTGCAGAGGAAGTACTCTGTACAATCACTAACTATTTACTGTGCTTCTAACGGTAACAAACTAATTATTGAAAAGGACCAATAGCAGAACGCCAGGTGTAAAGCCTTCTTCCTAATCGTTGCCAGCACAACGTTACAACCCGGAACGGCGTCGCATTCATTAGTGTAAAGACACCAAACAAACACGACGCCGTAGCAGCAAACTTCATCTTCTTCCTCTGGTTTGGGTGAAAGGAAGCCCAAACCAGTTCTGTTATTCTCTGTACAAATCGAAGTTCCACCATTGCTGCTGCTTGGTCACCTTCC